GGCCATTTTGGTGGGCTATAGGCCGTGCATTTTGATCAAAAATCGACCATTTTTGGCCATTTTGGTGGGCTATAGGCCATGCATTTTGATCAAAAATCGACCATTTTTGGCCATTTTGGTGGGCTATAGGCCATGCATTTTGATCAAAAATCGACCATTTTTGGCCATTTTGGTGGGCTATAGCCCATGCATTTTGATCAAAAATCGACCATTTTTCTCCCCCTGGCCCAAGAATGGGTTATCTGGAGCATGTTGAAGGATGTATTCACAGCCGGATCCAGGGGAGGTTCTTTGGGTGTGGACGCACCCCCCTTTTTGGACGACATCTTTTTTTATATAAACTACTGTTTATACTCCTTTGGTACTTTTACCGAGAAAACGGGTAGCATACACAACATGTGTCTGCCATTATCAAAACCGGGAATCCTGTGGTGGAGGGAAAAGGTGCACGAGCTGACAAAAAGCACTCCCCCTTACAAAATGCTGGATCCTTCCCTATTCAGTGAYTTATTAAAATGTTTTYTCAAAACTGTGATGATTTTTAATGCAKGAGACTACAAAATAACRTAAGTYAGCATCATTTTGGAATCACGACACAGAGTTGCTGGACTATACTTGTAAAAAGTGTTTTTCCAAAAAGTTTGCCAAGAAACAGGGATCCCAGACTGCTGGAACTCTTCCCTGYATATGSTTCTGTTTATGCATAGATTTCCCACATGAAGGTCATACAATATATTCTTGGTCAGCAATAACTCGCTGGAGAAGTCAGTTGAACAAAGTGGCACAACACATATTTGTCAGGAAGGAAGATGAAAATAAATCCCCCCTCTCCCTCTCCCCTAGTAGTGTCAGATTTCCCAGTCTCTTGTGGAAATGATTGCCASCTGCCAATCAACAGTGAAGCCATTTTCTCTTTAATTTTGCTGTTTTAATTTAAAACTGTACAAAGTCAATGTATTTACACACATCATACACAGTCTATATGGATAGTAAAGAACTTTTAAATACAATTATTATTWTAATGGAATACAGTTCAATAGAAAAAGCAGCGAGATAGAAGRCATTGTTTTGCACAATTCATCTTCAAGTCATTTAAAATGTTTGTGAAATTTGGAAACCTTTGAATGACCGGATGATAAATTATACAGCATCCTATATTGCTAGTTTATCCATTAAATAGTGTGGTTTAACATATGCCTATGAAGTAATAACTAAATCCATAAACCCATGAAACAATATCTAATGCAAACACTGCAGTAGTTTTTCATTTGATTACTATATAGAAACTAGTCATTACACTTAACTTGTAACACACTAACTGAAGATTGTTATAGTCTAATACTCCAATTGAGACTAACTTTAAGTCTACTAGCTATATGGGTTAAGTGTAAGGACTAACTAAAGAAAAACAGGATTGCTTTAATCATATAATTATTGATTCTCTAGATTAGATTGAATTTCTGTCAACTCAGGGAAGAAAAAGATTATCTAGGTAGTATAATTTGTTAAGGAACAAAGGGAAACAATGCGTTTAACGTTAACAACAGTATTAACAGTTAGCCTTGCTTTTCTTCCATGTTTAACAGAAAATCCCTTTATAATTAACAAATAGAAACAAAAAAGTTTGAATACTAAATCAATAAACACAGTGCATTATGAAATAAAAAGAAGATAAACCCTACTCAACAAGTGATTCTAACATAATGATCACTTGTACAGCGACATTATAACTTATAAAGCCCTCAATCAATGCCACAAAGATATCTTAACAGCAAAATATTCCTGATTTCATAGAATCAATATGTCCTTTGATGATACTCAAATGATGCTAGACAAAGTCCAACATATAGCTATGTTAGATACCTAATAATTTACATACTTATTTACAGTCAATCACTGTTGAAACCATATATTTTTATATTTCAAAGTGGAATAGACTAACATCAACTTTCTCAAAAGCAGAGCTGGTTTGCACTCTGCAAATGTGGTTTTCAGTCRCAGTAAACTATGATAAATTCTCCTAACCACGTTTCATCAGTGATATATGATGAATCAAAAGCCAAATTTCCATTTTGAAATATATGGATTTCAATGAGAATTAAATGTTTCATCAAATGAGCAAAATATTTTTCAAACAAAACATGAAAACAAAAATACTCTGCCCTGTTCCAAGTTCCCTGCAGTAGAACTCATTTATATTCTRTACAAATTCAGCAAGGGACAAAGAGCATTGCAGTTACAACGTACTGTTAATAATAATTATTATTTACAATCATGTGTGCAGGGTAAGATTSTAACACAAAAAGTGGAGCATTATTGCGCATTGAGCATTATAATAAACTAGTTTGAGCTGCTACAAAATTCATCGCTATCGCTCTGTAGAAAATTATCATCCTCCAGTCTGGCATGAAGGTTTTTTGGCTGCAGATTACTCTGAGAATTCATATTCTTCCATTTAATTTTCACATGCTATTTTTTCTATCCAAATAACCTTAAACTACATTTATGTAAAATGTTCAAGGATTTTTTTTGAAAATTTTTTTGATGGATTGAATTTTTTTGATGGATTTCTCAAATTTAAGTGGGTTTGGATTGAATACCACTGGAAATCTAAATAACTAACACGTTGTGATAGATTTAAGAAATGGCTGGAACCCTTTTTAATCTTAAGTTGATACTCATATGCAAACTTTGTCATAAAAGAGCATAATAAAGGCCAAAATATAGTGTAGTGTAAATTATTAGACAAACTACACAAAGAATTTGAGATATAATCAGTTAATCAGTAAGCAGAATGATTTTTTTTTTTGGAGTTGAAAGCATTGAAAAAAGAAGAATTGTTACTGTTATTCACAACTTCACAATGGAGATTMTCTTAGTTCAATGATAAAACATGGTGGAAGGAAGGGCTACACCTCTGCCAAAACCAGACGAGGATGACAAGATTACATTAAGAGCTTTCTTACTATTCTTATGAAACTATAAAAAACTTTATTTTAAAAATAGATATCACATGGCAAAATCATCAGTAATACAAAACAAGTCTACACAAGACCAGCTGTTGTGCAGCAAACATTCTTTCTATCTCCAGGATAGAAAAATAGCAATACAAAACATTTTGTCCATTTTATCTATCAAATATGTACACAATCTGGACAGCATTTTATCAACTCGAGGTGCATACTGGCATTTAGCGGCGGCATTATTTTACCCTGCACTTATAAGCCTTAAATAACATACATATATAGTTGCATATATATATCATATTGTACATAGTTTACATCACCTGGATGTCAATGATATTATTGGTCGTAGATTTTTTATAATATTATAGAACTCTCTGTACAGTGGTATGGGTCCTCCATGACAAGACAACAGTATACAGACATTTTWAAAAAGATTTGGATGAAWTGCTGATTTTYAATCAATCCCTWGAGAATYAAACAAAAAGCCTGGCAGACATATTTGGGGCATGCATGCTGGTGAGAAACCCTTTCTAAGTGAACAACAAACATGCCATKACCTCAACTCTAGCAATTATAATAGATAATAATTCCTTGATAATTCATGAAGACCACTTTGAATCAATAGATACTAATGCAAGAGTAATTTTAGAGATTTTTTATGAAAAATTCAATATTMAAGATTTTCTTTCTGAAAATGTTGTATCTTGTTGTCTTGCAAGAAGATATCTTCCATATCAATTATCATATACTTTTAATATAAACAACTTAATTTATCATCTGAATTACATGACCAAAACCCAAATTCTCGCAAATAATTTTCAAATATTCTTTTTGAGAATTTATGTTTTGATCAGTAACATATACTTTTGCAGGAGACCTAAATTCAAATATTGAATTTGAGAAGCCAAAACAATTGTGTCTCATAGAAGACTATTATCAAACCATTGTTTTGAGTTTGTTTGGCTCACAAGGGACTTCTGCAATTAAGTATATTTACTTGGTACCTCATGAAACGGCATAAGAACTGTCCATTTCAACTTCGTTCCTGAAGGAACTCTGAAATGACACAAAAGAAAACACATTGTTTAGTAATGAAAGTTGACTTACTTTAGTTCAGTGATGACACAAAAACCAAAAATAATAAAAAAATGCTTTTAAAAATCACAAGAATAGAAAAATATTCTTCAAATTTATCAGTTAATTTTTGTGTTTTTTTTTTTCCATGTTTATTGTTGTTGCTGTTGTTTATTTATCATATTCTTACCAGTAAACTTTGTCCTCTTCTACTATTCCGTGAGAAGTATAACGTTATATTATCCAGAGAGCTGTTTGATTCAGTTGTTTTCTTATATACAGGATTATCAAAGGTCATTGATTTGGGATCGTATCTGCAAAATATCATCATTCACTAATTTAATCATAAACATTTTATAATTAATGGATTAATTAACTTAATGGAGTATTTTTACATGGGTGCATAGATGTCCATATTTCAACTCCAAGTGTTGAGGGTCAAAGTCAGCAAAGTGAATGATTAAGTTAAACACAAGAGGATAGAATATGCATTTCCAAGGACCCATTGTGGTGCCAAAGGTGTCTGCTACAATGAGAGTTGCCTCTAATAGAGGCTCGTACCTTTTCTGTATGTGTCGATGTACCAGGCAACCAAGTAGTAATGCAACTAGTAGAATAAATAACACAATACCCACCACTATCCCAATGGTGGTACCTAGTAAAACGAAATGAAAAAAGATAAATATAACAATATGGAAATAAAAGGGATAAGAAAAGATGGAGGGATGATAGCTATTCATATAGTTGGAGCTACAGTAACAAAATAAAAAATACAAATACAAGAAGGTGAAATGGGAATAAATGGAATGAAATGGGATGGGAAAAGAGTAATATGGAAGATAGAGAAATATAAGATGAAATAACTTTTATTACAAGAGTGGTATTAAATAAAAAGATGGGATGGGAATAAATAAAAGAATAAGTGACAAGGAAAGTCATAAAATTTCAAGAAATCATTCAGATAGGTTGAAATCTTGACAGGATTATGGAAAATCTTGTTGAATAATCAGTGAAAATACACTACACTTGAATACTTGTTAACAACTCTTTCTTACCTATGTCTTCTACCGACTTTTTGCTCTTACTAGATGTTGGGCTAATGCCGCCATCATGAAATGGTATCTCACAGCGTGTTCCATGGTAGTTTTCTGGACATCTAAACAAATAAAAGCAAGGAATTCAGCACTTGAAATATCCACAACATTGTTTAAAAATCAATGTTTTCACATGAATGTAATAACGATACTCAATGTGACGTAAGCCTTTGTTAGTCATGTTCCAACCAGAAGACGATTGGCAGTTAGAAAAAAGCGACTTGTGAAAAGCCATTATGATCATTCTGGTTGGCACATTAACGTAAGAATGAGTTTGTTGATAAACGTAGAGTATGGCTATAGATAGCAATTATTATTTGTTTATTATTGATCTTATTATTGGTTTAAATTGTGACTTACTTGCACGAGCGTGGTTTACTTCCTTGTCCATCTTGACATGTGCCGTTGTTTTGACAATAATCACTAGTGCAATTGAAGGCTTCTGCAAACACAATGAAATACAATGAAATACAACATAAATCATCTCAATAAATAACCTAAATAAAAAAGGAAAAACCTACAGAAAAGAACAAGAAGAACAAGTAGCTTAAAGTATAAACCCCCCAAAAAGTGCATTTTGTTAAAGTGTAGTACAGTGAACAAGGAAACCAGTGCAAAATAAAGACYAATATTTAAGTGTACTATTAAAAAATTACTATTCAAATTAGTGCCAAAAGTGCAAATGTGTTAATTAGACATTTTCTTAACAGAAAACAAAGGCATTTGCATATAATTCAACATAATTTAGCACTAAAGTTTTTCATTGTTTTAGCATTTGCACTAGTATGCTAAATTGTATTTGTGTAAATAAAAATCATTCTAATGTAACAACTGATTCAGGCTAAAACTTGGTGAATACCCTTCCTCATACATTATGACTGTAAAATGAAACATTGTGTGGTATCTGTTATTTCAKTTTTAGAAATAAACTGACATAACTACAGTATAGTAAATAGTTAGATGAGTAGATTTTTAAGATGTAAGTAATTTGTTAACATCTTCAACCCTATTCAAATTAAACAACATCAATGTTTAACTGAGACATCTTACATTGTGTGATAATAAACTAACACAATACACCTACATGATGCAATATTATAGTAATACAAAAAACTGGAGGGGAAAGATTGTGTTTAATGGAACTGAATTACTTTACAACAACACAAACATATCAGAAAAAATGAAAATTAAACAATATTTTGCACAATACTAAATTACTAATTTAAATGAAAACAAAGACATTTGTACTGATTTGAGCAGTTTTGTTTCACTTATGATACAACACCAGCACATTTTAAAGTTATTTTAGCAGTAACACTTCAAAAATACCAACACAACCAATTTTTTCACACCTCAAAACTCACCTAGCACACGGCAACCAGACAAAAGACAGAGGAAAATCAACATGGCTGACAAGCCAGTTGGTGAAAGTGTCATTTCAACAGGTAGTTTTCCTTTCTTTATTCAAAATATTATGCAAGAGCAAACTGGTTTTACCTGATGTGTTACAGGTTTTCCCATCTTCCAATAGTACAGTGCCTTCAGGACAGTGGCAAGTATGRGTCTTGGGTCTTGGTGCAAGAAGACATATATGACTACAGCCACCATTATTGCYRCCACAAGGGTTCATTCCTGTCCAATGAAAATACAGAGTTAAGACCTTATGAATGGTTATGGTTTGGCAAGGATAGCATGACAAGATGCTAATAAATTATTAACCAGCATTATATTATTGAAAACAATTAAGAGAAAAATCATTTCAATAGTATGCATCCTATTCTGTTGACATAAACTGCAACTAGATTCATTTAAAAAAAAAAACCTCTTTCACTTTTTTCTAAACTTTCCCTTTCAACCTTTCTCCCTATAATGCTCTTGGCAAGTAAAATTCTAAAGTTTCTGTTTCCGTTTGCAAGTAGAATTCCAAAGTTTTGGTATTATAATATTGCACATATTTTATTTCTATTTATTTCATTTTGTTTATTTTTTATTTCCACTCAATATATTGACCAATCTCTATCAAACTCTGATAACAATTTTGTCAACAAACCTCTTTGTGGCTGTTTTTGYTGGTGGTTWACACAAATACCCATAGGTGCGTACAGTCCACCACGCAGTACTATTCTACTTCCACCAGTGAATTTATTTGCCATGTAGATACTGTCTTTTTCCCAATCTGTCCAGTAAATATATTCCTGGAAAACGGCAATGCCAAAWGGATGGTAGATATTATGACTGATGATAACTCTTCTGTTCGATCCATCAAGATCAGCAGATTCAATGGTGTTGATTTTTGCATCAGCCCATATGATCTTGTCTGTAGTATAGTCAATTGTAAGACCATTTGGCCACTGTAGGTTTGTTGTGATAATGGCTGTCCTGGTACTGGGATCACCATTCATGCCACATCGTTCTATCTTNAGGGTTTGAGTTACGTTACGTCATCAAAAAGCCACATTTTCATGCAAGTCATGTATTTTCAAGCTTTGTTTGTTTTTGACATGTACATGTACATTGATAATAAAAATACTTACGACAGCCTCTCTCGTCTGAATTRTCCAAGCAGTCATCTTGTCCATCACATTTTAGATGCAATGCAATACATCTTTTGTTGTCGCAGGTRAATTTACTGATATGGCACGTATCTACAGCAGCTGAAAATGAAAACAAATGAACAATGAATGAGCAATACAAATATAGAGCACTAAGTTAGCCAGTGCAAAGAGAAAAATGAACAAATTGAAGAATGGACGGAGGAGCAGATAAATGAAGGAAAGAAATGTAAATACATCTTATCAAATTCAATCGTATRAGGAAGTGGCTGATCCCATTAAAGAGTGCTCAATACAAATAAAGTGTAGAGCTAGTTATATATATGATATCAAAGAGGCAAGATTTTGCTGTAACTCCGAGTTTCGTGCTACGCACTCATCAGACAGTATTATCAAATTCATTAATAATTCATAAGGTAAACACAATGGAAAATCATTGCCGTGACCGCATCTTTATATGAGCAAGAGATTTGTCCTGATTTGCATACGACTTTAACTTCGATTTTCTCTTACAAATGATATTTTATCCTGAAGTTTTTTTCGAAATATGCTTTACTTTTAGTTGGAATTTGATAAGCAATATAAAATATTCGAGTCCAACCTTAATGGGCTATAAAACTGCTYGCTTRCAGCTCGCAGTTTTAAATGCCCATAAAGGTCTCCCGCTCATATTTCATATATTACAATCAATGACTAAATGGATAGATAGATAAATGAATGAAAGAATGAATGAATGAGACTTACGGCATCCCCGTTCATCTGATTTATCTTTGCAGTCAGCTTCTGCATCACARACCCAACTTTTATGTATACAAGTCCCAGTATCACACTGAAACTCATTAGATTTGCAATATGGAGAAATATTTGGACAGCCAATTTCATCAGAGTTGTCAGTGCAATCATTGTCACCATCACATCTCCACTGTCGTGCAATACAATGCTTGTTTGCACATGTGAATTCATTGGGTCTACAAGTGTGAGGTGCTGTAAGAAAAACAATTGATAGTGTCAGATAAATCGATATATTTATTAATTTAGCTTTTATCAGTGCTACAAATATCGGTTTTTAATGGCTCAAAGGAGGGCTAATCAACAGCTAAAAAGTGTGCAAATCTTTGTATATGAATAAGTTTTCTTTTAAGGAAATAATATAAGCTTTGAGCATCAATTTTCAGGAGCTTTGTTGGAGATTGTGTTTAGCTGTCATCGATATGCTGGTATATTTGACTTAACAAAAAGGGTGGATTTTTTCATGCATCTATATGCTAATCGACACAAAGATGACATCAAAATGTGACATATACACTTACGACAATGCTTTTCATCTGATCCATCACCACAGTCATTGTCCTGGTCACACAGCCAGCTTCTTGAGATACATTTCCCATTATCACAAGTGAATTCATTGTTAGGACAAGTCCGGTTTCCTAGAGAGAGGTGATGACCTAGAGATGTGAGTGTGTATGTGTGGACAGAAGAGAACAGCAAGCAAGATTTAGAAGGCAGATCAAAGAATAGATTMTAGAGATTTTTTAAAATTTTCCTAATTTATCTTATATTGTTATCGCTTTTATACACACCATAGATTTATAAACAGTACTATGGAACTTTTTAACACTTGAACCAAGTTGTTAAGTTGTTATTTATATTTTAAATTATTAACAGTTTAATAACATGTTCATTGCATGAATAGATATCCTTCTTAAAAACGGGTATGCTATTGTAACAGAATGAATTTTTCTCTATTTGTATTATTAAACAGGAAATCTAAGTAGCTYGATTCTTTTGATAACTTTACTTTAAAATACTAAACAAGCACATCATTTACAGCTTTCCTTTATTTTAGTTTTTGCATTTTTATATCAAAATATGTGGCTTAAAACTCAAAAAAGGAATGTAATTACAACTCTCACAAAATCGATTTTTACTGCTCTTTTACTTTATCTATTTCATTTAAATCAATAACTTTAAAATATTTTACTTTTGTTTCTTAAGAAATCAAAATGAAAAGTGAAAAGGAAAAAGGGGAAAAAAGTGAGATTTTTTTAGAGGAAAGTCAAAGAATCACAAAAGGAACAAAAACATACCACAATTTCTCTCATCAGTGCTATCTCCACAATCATCTTCKCGRTCACAGAGCCATCTTTTAGGGACACACCGTCCATTTCCACATGTGAATTCAGAAGAGCTACAAGTTGTCTGAGCTAATTCAATACAAAAAGAAAATAAAAAAGCTGTTATTGTTCGCAAGTCATGCTTGCACCCAATTAGATGTTAAACTTTAAATTCACTATGGAATTTACATGTACTATGACACAGTGTCAACAACAAATTGACTGTTATTCTAATTGTAAAGATTTAATATAATGCCTCAAGGAAGAATACAAGGATTTTGTAGTTTTGTACACAGAAATTACTACATACCACATTTCAATTCATCACTWCCATCTTTGCAATCGTCATCGAAGTCGCATACCCATCTYCTKGGGATGCAATGACCATTGTTGCATTTGAATTGCGTTCCAGCATTGCAGGTTATGGGAGCTGTAATTAAAACAGAGGAAAGAGATTTATCTATATAACATCAGTATCAAAATAGCAAAATAAACAACTAATTATGGTGGAAACTAGCAGTAAACTAGTGTRAGCTGTGTCAGTGTTTCTAAAGAAACAATTGTGTAAAAAGATAAATTTATCTTGTTTGGGATTAGCTGGTTGATGTTTTTGTAAGCTTGAAGATGAGTGAAATACATAAGATGCATAGTAACATWACAAAAATAAATTCTTRCAATAAAAACACCATCTATATGTCCATTAMTTTCTATTTTCTATAATATTCATTTATTTAYCATACTGTAATTTATGTATTCTATGCAACATATGCTAGCAATGCATTTGTTAACAATGTATGAATAACGTTCATGGGAGAATCAGCAGGAACCATGTATACAGTAAAAATTACCTCCRATTGTTTAAAATACTAGATAACCAATGATAAAAAAATAGACATTACTTACAAACACATGCAAACATGTGTAACAGCATCTATACAGCTTCATAAGTAAAAACCTCGAGGATTTTCAATAATTTCAAACAGTATAAAAGTGATAAATTAAAATCTTGATGTTTCATTCAATCTGGCTATTGTAGTTGTACATCCTTAATTGATTGAATAGGACTTAAATATGAAAGGAATTCAATTGTAATCAGACATTCTCAATTAATTTTGGYCTACTGCTTCCAATTATGCCTTCTACAAAAATGGAAATTGTACGTTATTATGAAATGCCGGCAGAAAAACAATTTAAAGGAAATTTCTTACAATTAATTTGCTGTTTTTTTATTCATTATTTTATAATATCAGCATTCAGTTCAGTTCAGTTTTTTTGTATAGGTTAATGATTCTAAAATAAAAAGAAAGTTATGATTTGTAACATGAAATTTCTTCTAAGATTTCTTCAATGTTTGTTTGCTGTTTTTTTTTTCTTTTTCGCTTGGAAATTTGGAAAGAAACTACTAAGTTAAGACAACAATTTACTGATCCATTAAATAAACAAGCCCTACACTTCTCCTCCCTCACACAATATCTTGAATCRCCAAGCGTTACCAACCCTACTACCTTTACATCAAGTGTTTTAGGACACAAAACTTAGGCTGAATGKCAAATGCTATAACTTTAAMAAGWTAAACAAGCTTGAGGTCAGATAAACTGAAGCTGATTTAGATGATCACAAATGTCAACAAATTCATACAATTACGCTACATGCATAGTCTTGTATAGTGTGTTGATGACAGCAACTTATATACTTATTCCTTAAACAGAAATGTAAGCACTTTAAGGATATGAACTATTTTCCATAGAGMACACCTGTATCAAGCTAAGCTGCGTAAAGACAAATTAACTTTAATTTGCTGTCAAAATTTCTTAGTTTCATTCAAAGATCACTATAGTGCTCAATACGCAAAAGTCAATAGYGATATATGAAGGTTATAGCCTCCTGTCACCAAACAGAGGATTATTTGTAACCTTAGAAAGTACAAGACAATCAACAAAGGAGATATGCTTGTACCTATCAAATATGAAGGCATAWTCACATGTTCAAGAAATCTTTTAAAACCATATTGGACCTCAGAGAGTTGAAATGACGGTTAATTTATTTCAAAACATAGTATTTTTTTAATTTCTTATATTTATTTTTTATGTAAGCGCGTGTGTGTGTGTGTTTAACTCTTTATGAAAAATATGCATTTGTGGAATATTTATTATTGTAGTTTATAGCGATGATATAAAAAGTAGGTGGAGTAATAACAGGAAAATTCTAAAAAAAAAGAAATCTTAGCTTAAAGTTTGGTTAAAAGTGTTTTATAGTCATCATGTAATGACAATGTAACAAGAGAGGAGTTAACAGATATACTTTCGACTAGAATCGACATAACATCATTGAAAACTGGAACTCAGATACATGATGGAAACCAATGGGGTTACAATCTAGAGTGTGCCCGCCATCGAAGCCTTTATAGACAGTCTCGTATGCAAATTACACACAAACATCACACGCCTCCGTACCAGAACAGAATACTATAAAAATCCAAAAATAAAATATCTGTTGTTCCTTATTGATCAAAAATATCAGCAAAACTTAGGTATTTGTTATAATCGTTCATTTCAAATCGTGAAAAAAATACATTTCACTAAAACAATTAGTCAACGTACTTGTATTGATTGATTTTCTTGTCATGTAACTAGCACTGGCCACGATCTTACGATCAAAAACCTAAAAATCTAAATTCTAGGATGATTTTGTCTAAAAAGCAATGAGTTGTACTATAATGGGCGTCTAGAACAAAATAAGGGCAATATTCCAAAGCCAACGCGCCCTTCGCCACGCTGCCTTGCCGAAAGTGTCGTTCGTGAGTCGTCTTCAAAGAGGGGACGAAAACAAAAAGGCAAAATCGTCTTTTTACATAGTAATTTTCTATTTTGAACAAATATATAGGTTAAAAACAACTTTTCACTGTACAGTCAGAAATCAAGTAAAGTTCTTTTGATCTTATGTCAAAGAAAACAGAGAGAATCTATGTAGAAAGACACAAAACACACAAGGACTTGCTAAACGCACTAGTAACCATGAACTCAAAATAAATAACCTAGTTATACTTGTTAAAAATAGTCAAAAACCTTTTACTTACGACAGTTTTTCTCGTCTGAACCATCTGGGCAGTCATTTTCACTATCACATCTCCAGGTGATGGGAATACAGGTCTTGTTTTTAAAACACTCGAATTCAYTTTGCTTGCAACTGAAGTTCGCTGCTGAAGAAGTTGATCAAAACATAGTGAATACAAAAGTTGTTATTCTCGATCAAAAGTATATTTTTATTTAGAAAACAAGTTATATAAACGTATTATATGTATTTCTGCTCAAAATACGCAATGACAGTGCAAAAAACATCGATTTGTGAGCGACGTAGGTCACATGCAGTGAATGGGACTGACTACCACCAAACAACATCGTTACGTCGCCGCCATTTATATCTCGTATGTCTAAAAAATGAACTTTTTTAGATCAGTTCAACGTTATTCTACCAGTCAAATGAAGAGAAAATGGTATTTTTTAATGAAATGAATAGAAAACTACCCAACAACGGCTGAACTGCTATAGTTATCAGTGGGATAAGGAACTAAAGTCACTACAAATGCACGCTACGTATTTACGATATTTACCTTTTGTTTCAGCGATCAAACTGGTTGCGAAGAGCACCCAAAATATCCACGTTTCTTCCCGTAATCTCGGCATCTTTTCTCTCCTTTCCGAGATTCAAGAACTCCTGTGAAAAATAAGAATTCATCAGCTACATTGAGTAGCTTTTCTATTATTACGAGCCGATGCGCCCTCTTCGTTCTTYTACGATTTGTTGTTTATAGTCGGRAGAATAAAGATGGCGGGAAATATGCCAAAATAAAACGGCAGCTGCCCGAATCCCGATTATTKCCCGAAGTTGTAYCGAAGTGTAAGAACGTAAAAAAATCAACCAATCAGAACAAAAGAATCACAAATCATGAAARGTTGATAAAATTCCCGGAATTCTTACSAAGTCCCTCGGGACACTTCCTTTGTGTTCGATAATCTCTAGAAATATTCAATTCGCAGGATGAAATTAACACTTGTAAACAAACCAACGGAAGCATCGAAAAAGCGGGAATTTTTTTGACAGTTTCAGTTGTCCATAACAAAAAAACAAGCACCTCTTACACGAATCTCTTTTAGAAACCTTCTTAGAATACGACAATGACATAGCAAGARTTTTTCCTTGTTTATATGCGTGAGAATTTAGTGACGTCAATACATTTTTTGAGCAATTTTTTTTTGCATCTTCATGGCTCAATTACAAATAAATGCATGATTTCTCTTGTGTTTTATCGATATAACAAATGCTAGGATATTGATCATTCTTTAGAAACCTTAAACGTAATTGCCTGCATTCTTCTACTCTGCATTGTGACTGACATGTGACCCGAAATTACATCATGCTTTCAGAATGTGCGCCACCACGTACGGCACAGTACGTACAAAACAGTGTAAMATTTTCCGTAATTTAAAACTTCTTTGTTTAAATCTAGGAAAATATGAAAATATTTGAGAATATTTCAAGTGTGTGAAAAAACTTATGAAACGTTTTACTAGAATGTAGTTATCAGAAAAACAATTGAGGAAAGATCTAGAATACGACATAACAAATGCCTAAAATAATAAAAACAAACATCGTTGAGAACTGAGTGATTCAGTGATAAGATCAATCATATTTCCAACAAAWAGGAATTCAGTCATATTGATAATTAAAAAACAGGAAAAAAAATCAATACAAGTGTCTTGACAAGGGGACTATCACAAACAAAAAAAGAAAAAAAAAAGAAAGAATGACAAGAAGAAAGGAGAAGAAGGAATTTTGAATGACAATTGAAAGAAAAAAATAAATATCTCAATTACAATTTAAAACTGACTGCATTTTCAATGATAAACAATGAAATTGTACATCAACTCACATATAAGGGTATAGTATTATATAGAAGATGTAAATTAAGGTCTAGAGTTCAGGTAGATAATTTATCACTTAAAGATTATTTCTCGATGGAAAGATAATCTGTCCACTTTTCAGGTATTTAGCGGGATCAAATTTCTTGTACATTGKGAAAGCAAACTGTTTTACAGGAAGTTTGAAAATTTGATAACTTTGAATGAATTAAATACTTGATACTGCTACCATCCGTCACTTTTTCTATGGACTGTTTTATTTTCTATGGACATTTTATTTTTTGTTACACACAAATTGTTATAATTTCTGTGTCAATTCWGTTGTTAGTTTTACTCATTTTTCTTTCTATTTCATGCAATTTTAATTTGATTATTAAGTCTTTCTGCATAACTTTTCTAAGCTGTGACACTATAACATGAAATGGCATGTTTTCTGGTGTGGTTAACTRTAAGCTGAAAGGGAACTCCTAAGGACAACCCTGAAAACAAAAGTTGTTACTGAATGGGGATACGACATGAATCGAAACACGCACAAATTTTGATTGACTATTGCTTCCGGTATTAAAATCAATTAATTTTGCATTATTTTTTATCTACTTCATTTTTATTGCTGGACGTTTATTTCTAAAAGATTCTTATCTATTCCGAAATGGTCCGTTTCCTTTTTTTTTCTTTTTTTCTTTGAGCAACACCAAGACATCGATAGGGAAATTTCACAACATCAACGAATCGAAATTTTAGGAGAAAGAGAAAGATGCTACAACTGTTTTGACAAAATCAGTCGCTTTTTCATCTAAATCGGAAGATACATAAAACGACCAACATAAAAAGTCAAAAAAGCATTGAAAAAAAAAAACAGTTTTGGAATGAGCACTCGTTATCTAGACCTCCACAAGTGTCCAGCTCTAGAGATGTCATGGATGGTTGTCAATCAAGTAACACCGGATGCAAAAACGCCACACAAACTCATTATTTCTAGCAAAGCTTTATCGCAGAATATGCTAAGAAGATAATTTCTACGCCAAAACTACCACTTCAAGCTAGGTTTAGAGGAGTATGCTGGGTCATAGGGTCATGGAAAACTTACCAAAACAGCCAAAATAGTTCTTATCTTTCAGTGAGCCGTTGTCAATCTTGAAAACTTCTAACACAAAGCAGATCTTTAACTTGTCATACTCGTTTTACAATTTGACTACATAAGGTTCAAATACTTCAAACGGGAAAGATTTTAAGCACTTTTYCAAAACTTTCTGAATAAAACTGACATGAACACGTGCATTTATAATCGAGTTAATTTATGCGAAGCCAGCGGACAAGACAAGACGACAGTATGCAAATTAGAAAAAAGTCAACAATCAAATATTTCTATTTTCATCGCGAGTCAAAAGTCGGATTTTTAGAATAATCTGACCAATATATAAATAGGCGCTCTTATATAAGCTTATTTTTGGCTATTGTTGTGAATCAGAAAGGACAGAAAGGATATTGAAGTTGGCCAAATTAACCGTTTTATTCAAATAATATATGTATATAGAATTAATTTTACCAAAGATTCAAGCTTATTATAACGACGTAAATACAAGAAAATCTATATTCTAAAGTACCAAAAGCATCAACTTTAGCTTGCTCTACTCACCGTCTTGAAGAAACTTCAGTGTCAATGAAGCCGGAGTACTTTTTACAAATGTATAAATATGTTTTCACATCATCATCAATGAACAGTTAGCACTCTGCTTGTAAAACCACAACGTAACAGTATTCAAATGACCACGTAATATTCCAAGGCACTGAGCAGTAATACTAGCAATACATGGATGTCCTAATTCAAGATATTTCTTCACAATTCAGACTTAAAGAGTTCAGGGTTCAAATCCGAAATGTAAACGGCAACCGGTCGACTTAACTAGACTATTGCGAAATTTTATCCACGCGGGCTTGTGACGTCATGGCATGTAATATATACCGTATAATACTAAGAGTATTTCTAGAACTTGAATGAAAATAGGAAACGATGTTTTGCTTTATTAATTTAATTTTTTCGCTTTTTTATCATTTATTTATTTCATTTATTAATATTTTCTTGTTGCTTGTTGTTGTTGTTTTCAATGTTTATTATTGTTTATAGCCTATTATCATTTCAGCAGCAATTTTCTAATCATCCTGATTTCGCTTGCACTCAGATTTGAGCTTGTGAGACTTTTTCTTAAATTTCATTTAATTTCCCGTCTTGTCATCCATTTCTCACAAATTTTCATTACACTCAAAACAACTTATATACATGTATGCTGGCAATCAACTCTCTCGTTACATTGATATCCGTAAAACAGATAAGTTCTGGAACTCTAATCGTATGAATGACACGTGGCCAGTCTCGAGATAACAGTCCAATTACATGTTTGCGTGGGGGTAATTCTCGACACCAGAACTGAGTTTTATCGCGGGCGGAAGTCCCCCTCGATTCATACCAGAAAGATTTGAATAAAATCCACAGCAACACAGAGGTGGTCACGTCCACATCGTTCAAATTCATTTTAGAACAATGTCAAGGGTTTTTTTAGAAAGAAGAAATCCTTGTCTGTGACTAGGAAATCAGCAAAGGGCGGCAATTGTCCAAGTACCATGGCAACTTGCGGATTTAGCATTTGCGTTATAGCCGACTTTTCCTTATATTTCAATATCTTCCAAATTAAATATAGTGATTTTAGTAATCAGCAAAAGAGTATGTTCATCCCTTCAAAGCGAGAAAGAGTTTTTTTAGTTTGCTTACGCATTTTTTATGGAGTTATAAAATCTGCGATGCGTAGGTACTTGGAATAAGGACAAAGTCCATCGATTGAGTGAGGTGTTTCGAGTGATATGCGACGTGGATGTAGACTTCGATCGAGCTGTAGAATCAATTGAAAAACGGCGAGGGATGCACGTGACAGCCGTCCCAAACCACTTAAGCACAGACTCTCGTTGGTTTGTTTCTCTATTTGTTGTCAAATTCTGAACGAAAATCTTTTGTGAAAAAAGTGGGGGGACACCGCTTCTTCGCCACATGACACGTGAGATACAGGCAAAAGAGACCGCAGATCGGTGAAATTACAACAACAATAAGAATACTGCTTTTTTATTCCTACAAATTACAAAATAAAACTACTTAATCAAGAGTATTCTCAAAACTGAAAACAAAGATTATATCATTGAGCCCTTGTAGAGAGCCGGATGGTCGTGCTGATATCATGGTCAAATATTATAAACAAAACTTTAAGTAAATAAAACAAAATACTACAACAAAGTAACACATTACACAGAGAAAATATCGTGATTACCATATAAAATACAACGTTATTTAACACTTAATATAGATTTATACGTCACTCTGTTCAAGTTCGAGAATTAAGTGTTACAGAAGCCCAGGTAAGACACGCCCTTACTGGTCAAACTCCCAGGCAAAAACCCAAGTACGTGACTTCTGGGATGGCCATTTCCAAGCAATATTACAGGTACATAGACTGTGTTAGAAAACACAGGTATGGCATGCCCTTTCAGTTCAAAAGTCTTAGGAAAACTACAACGTACGTTACTTCTGGTAAAATTTCCAAAAACAAATATTCACTGGTATTTCAATAACACTGTCGGCCAGGTCAGTACCGTAATGGTCATGTTCTGGAAAACACTGCACACTTGACTTGGAAATAACAAAGTGAGGCAATGGTGGTAGTATTTAAACTGTATAACTATTTTGTTTATAATAAATTGAAAAAGAAAGTCACAGTTTTACAATATTTCAAGTCTATCTATCTTCCCTTTAGAAGCTGTTTTGATCCCAAACTGTAGTACAATAAACCCCCTAATCTACCCCCTGTTAGTACTAGTATTATTTCTTTTTCTGCGAAGGCGAAGGYACAGCTGTGTCAATTGAGGTCGCCACCGAGTCGGTCTCCATGTCTGATCCATCCTACAAGAAAAGCAAACACACTTACTRAGTTATTTACGTCACACAGACAAACACAGACATAAAACTTAGCGAAAGCTGAATGAAAACTTTGACAGAGTCTATTTTTAAATTGTCACTTGCATCCTGTGTGCGCCCTAGTGGATTGCCTTACAAAAATACATCTCCAAACGTCTTTCCAAGACAAAATTCGATAAAAATTGTTATCCTGTTATGTTACCATGCAGAATATATAATGGGGAAATGGAAATCCCGGTGAAATTACGCAGAATTAAAATAGAGTAGGAAAATAGCGAATGCGCTCGCGGAAACATTTATAGACTTATTAATTTATGCTAATGTATGTAATTTATGCTAATGCAAATGACCGCACTAGTAATTACGATGGACTGTGTTATAGTGAAAATACTYCTGAAAAAACTTTAAGTCTTKAAACAAAACCAGAAGTGATTTCTGTTCAGACACAAGTGCGTCATTAGAACTGAAGTCTAAATACTAAGGCCTAAACTTAGCATCAGCGAAACGTTGCGAGGAGTCACTTTAAGACCCATACATTCTTTTGTACTTCACGATAATTTTACAAAAGTTATTCAATAAAAACAAAGAAGTTTTTTATCTCGATAAATACTAGGATTTGGCTCGYCTCCAGTCACGTGGTACATCACCTGTCGATACAGCTGTAGCTCGCACCAGGTGGATAAGACTCAATATACATCGTGTGCAACACCTAAGTAGAGGTGAATGTTGCTTAGGTTGCTACTACATCAGCAGTGATGTACGACGAATACRGAGAAGGAAGAATTAACAAAAGGAGACGGTGCTATGAAGGAAGCGTGGGAATGTGAACTCTTCCGTTTTAATTTTTTCAATGCTTCCGTCTCTGTTTATGTAACTAGTGAAAATCAACCTTTCRAAAAGGATATTAGTCATATAGAGAAAGATTTGTAGTGACTTAGTACAGTCGCGGAGATATGCTTTCTGGGCACTTTTCTTTTAAAAAGCCTTTTAGACATTTGCTGAAAGTTGTGTTCAGGCTCGAAATGAATTGTGGGTCATACTCCATGCTGTGCTGTGATTGGTTACTATGGTATTGATTCCTTTCGGCAAAAGTTCCAAAAGGGGTGTAACTCCTCCTATAGACCTAGTCGATAGCAAAGCCACTCAAACTTGGGCTTTTCAATCGTTTAACAATGTTTTCAATGTGAGCTAGACTTAGCTAGAGGCTCACTTGTTAGATAAAGAAAGAACCGGTCAATTGCCAGAACAATCCTGATACAAGGCTTGTTATCTTCATTACGTTCTGACACTGACAAGAGGTGAACAGTACATAGGGATTAATCACTTGGCTGAATGCCTTACACATTAAAGACAGTGTACTTTCCGACATGTCTATTTTTATGACTGGTGACCTTAGAGGAACTGAAGAGAACTTTACCGTTTAATACACCAATAAGAAGGAAGAATTAAAAATTATTTGACTATCGTGCCTTGGCTTTTAGATTCTGTTTCACGGGTTTAAAGCTTTCACTCTAAGGAAGTGACAAAAATAATTGTTGAATATAACAATCAAAGGTGCACAAAAAAAGTTTTAAAATATATCAAATATTTGTTTGTTGGTTCCATTAACCCTGATGATGGGCCTAAGGCCCGAAAGCTTGGAAATAAAATAACTTATTGGTTGATGAAACAAGATCAATGATATAGCTTTCAAAATGTTGATCTGCTCGTATACTTTGATGCTCGCATATTGATTTTGTTTTGTATAGTCGTATGGAGACTTACGAGAGGAGATAGAAGGAGGTAGAGGGGTTAACAAGTCGTCGGTAAGTTGTTGATCGTAAACCTAGAACAAARGCCTGGATCACGGCCATCGTTGTACGTGATGTATACACACCATCATCATGACCTTGGTTACAACACTGTTTGTTATTAGATATGATGCAGGCACGTGTGTAGATAGAACTGATTGGTGCGACAATAAAGGTAATGTTATTGATCAAACATTCTAGAACATTACATCAAAACATCACGAACAACAAAATAACAGACGATTAGTGAATACTATACACTTTAGAACAATAAGATTGATAAGACGATCTRACAATAAAGAGATGAAATGTTCCGCTGTTCAATTCTGTTAACACTCAAAAAAGAAAAGAAAATTTTGAGATTTGTGGGTTTTTTTATTGCAACTCCACTACGCCTCTCTCAAAAGTACCTCCCTTATTTGTCATATTTATTGAGAACTTTTTCTATACAAATTGAGAACGAGTCGAGTTGATATGAATCACTTTTCACATAATGTGTACAAATYGAAAAACGAGTAACTCGAAGAGAGTAACTCGAAAACAACACAACTCGAGTATCGAGTGTCTTCGACAAAAAAAATACTGATGAAACACTATTTATATCTTCATTCAAAGTTATTAACTCGAAAAACGAGTAACTCGAAGAGAGTAACTCGAAAACAACACAACTCGAGTATCGAATGTATTCGACAAAAAAAAATACTGATGAAACACTATTTATATCTTCATTCGAAAACTCGAAAAACGAGTAACTCGTAACTCAAAGGACGTAGCTCAAARATTACACTACCAATGTTTCATCCAAAGTATCCCATTGTAAAAGACTATGAAAAAAAGACAAAGAAGTTTATCGTCATATTCTATTAATAAAACACAAAAGCACAGAAAAACCTTTTGTCTTTTGGCACGCGTACACTTAAAAACCCCTATTTAGACCYTCAATGGTCGCCTTGGATGAGCAAGGAACCTAACTAATTGGGTGTTCACAATCGAGAGACTAAGAGGTCTGTCTGATAGRAATCCAGTAAGAAAAAYGTTTCMTAGCTCGTATAATMCGCGTCAGTTTGTACACGTAAACGGAAGATTAACGTTACTCGGTTTGAAAACGTGGTATCATTACGTGTTTTTCCTTCATGTTGAGCTTTTGTATAAAGCAAATAACAGCAGTATTTCACGGCACATGGTTCATATCCTAACCRTGGGWCAATTAACCACGTMTAAAATTCCTAATTGGTCACGAGTTGTTGAAAGTAAAAAACTCTACTATACGAACAAAGGCGAACAACGAACAAAGAGTGGCACGCGCCGCATTGTACGCAACTTCAAAAGGCAATTAGGATGATAACAGGACACGAACTCGCATGAGGTATTCTAAGAAAAACGTATGTAATATAAATAATAAACTATCTTTTGAAAATATTGTATTTTAGTGTTTGTATTGATTAAGTGTTGTATATTTGCTCACGTACCTAAGCAGACAGCGTATGGTGGTCAATAGAAAGTTTCTTAAAAGAGTCGCCGCATTTTTTATTACTTGTCAAATCGTTTTCTTAATAAGCAATCATTGAATAAAACCTCACACATTTCATTATATAACTGTAAAACTGTAAAAATAGAAAATCAAAGGTAGCTGCTTTAAACTCTTTCCTTTGGGCAGGACAAAAAGAGGCTTCTTTTTCTTAAAAAAACGTAATATAAGGGTACAAACATACAAATGAAGTTGTTTCAGTAAAGAAAGAAATTGATTCGCCCTCCGAGTATTCGATTGTGTATAAACACGTGTTCTGTACAATTCTAAAGTCCTTGTACAATACAWCGGGAACAAGAGTATTCACTTCTAAAGAGAAAACAGTTTTTTCAAGTATTCCAATGTATAATAATTTAGGATGTATTACAGTAAAAAGACCGTTTTAGGTGTTTAACCGTGCTTACTTTGTCTTCATTGAACGTGCAAGATCACGATGGTTAAATTAACTGCAGTGTTTAAACCTTAGATGCTGGTATAACAAAGAATTTCTTCCATCATTTTGTATCATAATAAAAGGACYTGTTATGTACAACACTACTTGTAATAATTTTGTCTTTCAAATGTAAATTTTTATCAATATTACAACATTACAGTAGAACTAGAGCTGGGATCATATAGACTCAAACCAACATCCGATGAGTACCTGAGCGCAGGTTCGCYCTRAACGCGTGCCATAGCCTTAACAAGCAAGAAAGCCTGCGGCGAAAACAACTCCAACAAAGAAAAATTTCTTTTTCTCCGCTTTCTAAAGTCATGCAATTGAAAAGCGGAAGAACCAACATAATTCGATAGAAAAACATCACGATGACAKACTACAATATACACTAAATGTGATTTTTCACATTTCACAACAAAATGCTTTGCTCACTTGAAGATAGAAAAGAAAAGCAGATCTAAATGGCAACRCCYGCATGAMACGCGAGCTGCAAGGGGGCATKGGYAGTACATGAATATTTACAACGTAAAATCATAAACTAAAGAAGACTTACACGTACGTTAACGTACGTAAAACTTCTCGATACTTTACGCTAACTACATTAAAAACGTTTAAGGTAGTGACGCTTGGGAAGCGGTGATCGCAGTACATAGATTGCTACGTTGCGTAAACGCGCGTATACGTTTCASGACCGTCTAATACCATAAGAYAAGCACTATCTACTTAATAATAAACTTCAGCAAAACAAAGGAAAAAGTTGAATTAAAGCAAGCTAGTGAAGGSCAATCGCGTGTATGGTATCACTGGATGTAGTACACAAACTATAACCGGTAACAACAGCAGGGTTAATATTATGTAATGTAGATACCCCTGGGTGGAACACAAGCTGTGTTATAGTATCGGTTATAGCTTGATATCATGTAATATAAATAYCCCTGGGTGCTGTATTGTATATTATCTAGCTGTATACACGGAATCTATGTCTTATGAGAATTGCACGCAATATTTATAGATTAAAGTCTATTTAATTAACTCAAATATCCTACTTAAATATTTTGTGTTTTTGCGAACAACATTTCTCAGCCGTAGTTTTGACGCGGCGAGGAAAACCTGAGGACTTGCCTAAAAACCTTCAAGCACTGTCCACATAATGTTGCTGTGATACCAATTCGACACAAGAATATTCCAAAAAAAGTTMTTTTTAATATTCCAGCTAAGTTAATTGATAATAAAAGTATTAGTGATTATTTATCTATTGATTTACTTACATCACTGCTGTCAGCACGTTCAGATGGAGGACATGAGTCAGTGTCTTTGTCATCTAGTTCGCCTGGTGTCCTGGCTCTAGGSGGTCTACCACGCCGCTTCTTCAATAAAAAATATCAAAACTTGTATTATTTCATGGAGTTCCTGTGCTTATAGTATGTTGCGCGCGAGGAGATTGGACGCTAATCAACACAGCAAGCCCAAACATTGCGGGTATACTCACCCCACCAATTTCAGCCCTCGCTTTCTCTACTGATTGTTTTCCTAGTTTGATGCGCATCTTCAAAGACGAGACGCTTCCTCCTGAAGTCAACAACGAGTTAATTACAAACAGTGTGCTTTATATGACAATCAAACGTCCAAGCTTGATTCCAGGCTCTACTCCTTTATTGAAAGTGAAAAGAGCCTGGAATCGCCATTCTAATCACTATCATATTACCATCATCAATATCGCACATCATCAAACAAAAAGGTCGCAATGTTGATGATTTCTGAGATGCGCGGACGCTTTCATTAATATCGCAGGCGCACAATGAAAACGAGGTAGATTCGGGTAAAAATATAATTGCTTTTAACTACACAAAAACACGCGCGTGCCCGCAATAACCGGCAAGGAATCATCTCCTAATTGTCATCACGTCGATCATATGATCTGACAATGACAGATAGCTGTACCAGGATCTACTATCAAACCCCATTCATCAAACAACAAGTGTTTTAATGGTGTTAGCGAATTCCTGGGTTTTACTTTAGCACATGTTCTACGCCTGACGATCATGTTGATAATCCTGTCAGGGTCTAGCGATGTGCAATTTTTGTATCAATTGTGCAACGATCTTTTCTTGTGTTTTTACCTTCAACATCAGAAGACACTGAATCTCTATCGTCCCCATCTCCCTGTAGAAAAAAAAACACGAAAAAAAAAAAACAATTATTTGTTGAAGAAGTGAAGAAAACATAAGAATGCTGTTAGTAGTATTGACGCGAGAATCACATCGATAACCTATCGGAATTATATCGTGATAAAATCGCCACTACATCGGTATCACATCACTATATTACATCGCATTAGATCGTAATAACATCGGAATCCTATCGGTACCACATCGGAAGATTATCGACACTACATCACCACTACATCGAAATGGTAAAAATCTCAGTATTGA